TATCCAAAAGTCTTCTCTTTGTAACCGATATGGTGTGCTCAATATGGGGTCATTTTTTTAATGATAATTTTTTTTTATAATCCGGACTTTCATTGAAACAATAGAATGGTCAGGCTGATTAAAATGTTTGTAGAGAAATTTGTTGTAATTAGGATCATTAACATTAGACCGATGGTCATCGATTAATTGTTTGGTCATCCTCTTGTCTTAATTCGAGCAGTAATGATGAATGTGGCATGAGCGTCTGGTGTTCTTAAGTATTATCCTGGTATCTTTAATATGTTTCTTTACATATAAATCGACAGTGAAGAGTGGTCGAGAAGTAAACTACCTAACAAAACAATAAACCAAATTTCCCAACGTGGGCTTTTCGTTGGTGCGTGTTGTCTAATTGATATTGTGATTGCTTGAAGATATGGTCACCCATGAACGCTTGTGTTAAATTGAAACAGACACAATTGAGTCTGAATTACAGTATACAGTTGAAGTGAAAATATACAATACGGGGATTACATTTGGGTACGTTAGATATGCGCCTCGTCTACAACCATGACCTTTATATTGGAAAATTTTGCTTTCAATGCCCCGTATTGGGATTGAAGGGGTACAAATTTCTAGGTTGATAAAAGTATCTAGATTGTCTTGTTCTAAAATCTTTACTTCGTAAATCTATCTTTATGAGCATCAAGGATCAATCAAAGATCAGGAGGGATTCATTGTCCAACAGAGGAACTGATTATGTTACTATTTTAGTAACAATTATTTCCTATAACAACTCGCAATAGTTAAAGATGTTGTACTTAATTTTAAGGTTAAGATTACAGTTCCTTATGGATCGGATCCTGGTCTGTTTGGATCGCATTGTTTCATACAGAACAATACTTCAGATGAATATGTGACCAGTTAGATCCACGTCATACCAAGAAACATCATTAAATAATCACAATAATATAATTGAAATGTTTTCTCATGTACGTACGCCTTTTCCATAAGATTGTCATGAAAAATCTATCGCATATTTACATTGGTAATGTGTTTTTCAGTAACTTTTAATATCAAACGACAGAATACCTATTGTTTCACCTCTGGATGTAAATCTAGAAAAAATAATTGACTGTAGCAAAACGAAGTAAAATGGATTGTTTTGTTCCGTACCCTGTCTGGTGGGTTTATTAACCACGGGTGCTATGTACCAAGAAACATCTGGTTTTATGATATGACGAGAGGTTAGACGTTTTGTGGTTTTTAAATTTGTACACATAGTAACAAAGACATTCACATTTTTCAGGTTGATCATACACATTATATGATTTAACATGTATTATGTAATATCGTTTTTGTCTCGCCTGCGATGAAAGTCACAGAATGCGAGACATAGGGTGTACAATCCAGCAGGGACGGCGGAGGCGACGGCGTAAAGTATTTGTATAACGCCATAATCATGATAATTATATTTCAAAATGTAGAAGACCTTAATGCTTCATGCAATGTATGCAGATTCCTTATGATACGAAGATTTCTTGTGAGCAGAGACCCTTTATCAAGAAAATCATGATAGGAAATAAAAGCCCTGGAATATGATTTCAACTTGAAGATATATACTCCGTATGCAGGCGCTGCTGGAATGTTGCTACATAGAAATGGAAAGTTCACAATTAGGAAGCTGAATTATCTCTCTTGTCGTAAAGTTTTGTATTCAACCAACCCTCATTGTCACTTTCTAGATGTTAGTCAAAATAAGAGGCAGACTTAACTGTATCTGTTGTATTATTTATTTCTGTTTTGATGAGATAGATGCGTTCAACATAGTCACCAAATTTTGACTTATTTAGTGAGTAATATCTCAACTATTTTTAGTGTATGTAATGCTTTCATGGTGTTCATGTTTATGGTTCATATGTGACTGTTAAAGTTTTGGAATAAGGTCTATGTCTTAGATATAATAAGCAATAGATTTATTACATTCGGTATATGGCATAAAAATATAAATCATGATAACAGGCGAGATATTCCAGCGTGTGGACTCTTGTTAGTAACTTGTTAAATTTTAAATTAAATTTGCTGAGTTTCTATACTCTTTGGAGATAAGCATACCAACGCCATGTCTCCAGTCATTAACAGTAAAGAACATGAACCCACAAAAACATTTGGATATGATAAAATTAAATGTAAAATAAACATCAATAAGACAGCAATTCAACAAAACTACAAGTTCAGCATGTTTTACTTCATCACAATTTGATCTAATCTTCACTCCCAGGAAGACTGCTAGGTTTTAAAACTTGGTATTTTGACCTTCTTAAAATTTTGTAGAAGAAGATCCAGGTTTTGGGTTTGAAAGTAGAACAAACGATACCCTGATTTTGTAAAAGGATTTTGACTTGCAGCTGAGATCTTTCCATTTTTGCTGATATAATGCGTGATGTAAATTTATTCAGTCAAAAGTATTATCTGAATGAAATTATGTGACAAATTACATTTTAATTTCCTTTTCTTTAATGAATTGGGTTCTAAGTTTTAATGAGATTTCTCTAAAATGAACCAAATTTTTTTAAGGAACATTTTCTTATTTCTTTTTTGAATTGTGAGTACTTCGGTTTTTGTTTTTTTATTTTGATTTGTCTCATGTTGACTGATTAACGAGATCTGAACACTTATATACTACCTTTGCGTTAACTTGTATGGTCCTCATGGTAAATTCTTACCCATGTCACTGCATAATAGTATCAATGGTTATCTTCTGATTAACATTGAAAAAGAGAGCTTTTACACAGTATCTATGTAATATATGTTTTGTCATACATCAGACCGTTATTTTTTTTTTTTTTTTTTTAATTGTTTCATAATTTGTCTTGTCGAGTCCTATTAAAGCTGACTATATATTTTGAATCTACTAATCTATTTTCAATTTATTCCTCCCATAGGAAAAAAACATACCGACTTGAAACATGGCAGACAGATTGAACATGCATGCTTGGCACATATATTTCCTTGCCTTCAGTGGTTTGCTAAGACAGACCTATTGCCAATTCAGCTTTGAAATAACTGCAGTTGTGCTTGCTGGTGCATAGTTTATGGCACGAACGGTAGAACATTGTTTGTAATCATCACACCGAAGGTGATTTAGGGCGACATAACCATGCAACACATTTAAATAGACTTGCTCTTTCCGATTTTCTATAGTCTCGAAAAGGCTATTTTAGCTTATGGCTCTCATATTTATTACGATTGTGCCATATTCCGGGTCTGAAACGAGACCGATCGATTTGTTTCTAATACCTCAATTGCAACATTAAAATCATTTCAGTAAAAAGTTTAAAGTTTTAATAAACCGACATAATACATATTCGTCCGAACAAAACAACAATCTTCAATCTTAACAGACCATTTGAAACAACCAGAAATAAGAAATGTATTTAGAGACAACTATCCTAGGTAATGACTTAATAGTGTAAGCAACAACATGATTTACGACACGGTAACCAAAATTATTACCACTATAGTGGTATACGTCGTGTTACTCGTGTCATGTAATGGTCGGGTAAAGAGTGGCAATTGGATATACTAATAAACAAAGACAATCTTGAATATTTGTTGAAAAAAATAGAAAAAATCAACAAACTAGAGAAGGCCGTCGAGCCTTCACTCTTCAAAGACGTTTTATGTTGGTCTTCGGTATGAAGTTAAAGGTATATCCAGACAATCTTGCCTATTCTGTGTTTTCAATCCTTTTTACAAAATGTATGGCGACATGAAAATAAGATTTCTCCTTTAGGAATTTATCTATAACCAAAATCAGAAAACTTTCGATTTCAAATCCATTACTCTTAATCAGACTTGCAAATGCCCTCCCTAACTCACAGGCGTTTTGCTAAAATTAGGTCATAAGACACATGCTGATTGCTGATGTTGCGTCTCGTTCGGGATAGACATAAACACATTTTGCAGGTCAATTTCGATAAGCGCACTACATGTAAGGAACTTTACACAAAGGGACATACCATACAGATAAGTTAAGCTGGAAAATGAATGTATTGGTCGTCTTCTTTATTAATGTTTTAACAGTACCCATCGTATGCATACGAGTCTTGTTTGCTCCTTCGCTAAGCAATGTCTACAAATCCGGTAATATTTTTCTGACAACAGTTGATCGTTTAACACTTTATTTACCTGACTATGAGTCAAGATTTCCCAAATATTCATACAGTGTGTGAGAATACGTCCTCAGAAAAAGAAAGATCTCGAAACTTTAGAGATTACAAGTATGAAAATGAACAGATATGGCATAATATCGGTAAACCTGGTTGGCAATAATGAATATAGATAATACTGTAAACTTTATTGACTCATGTTATTAAAACGATTGGTCTTTTAGATTAATATATGCCTCATTCCTGTTAGATACAAAACCTACCATCCCATGGGATACGTTACATTTCGAGACAAAATTAATTTCAAAACCATGAAATTTTGACTTGAAAGCAGAGACAAACATTCATTTCTGCATAAAATAAGTCGGATAATTTTTTCCCGAAACTTGTATCAGAAATCTCAGAATCTGTGACTACAAAAAGGTGAAAAGGAGTTTATGGAAAAAAGAAGACTGAGCAATATTGACTTCTTGGAATTGCTTATTGATCGGTATCTTCCATAACACTAGTATATGATATTTGGTACTAACAATCCGTAAACAAGAAATCTGTATAGCTACTTTGTGTAAATAAATAACTAACACCCAGCAAACTGCGTTATCCAAGGAAAAGGAAAAATAACAAAGTTAAAAGGTTTTCCTTTCACTTGAAGAAAGTTTTAATTTATAGAATAGAAATCAGCGTGTTTTAACCGACAAAATACTTTACAAAATAATCATTAACATCTTGGTATTTTTTTGCATTTGAGAAACGTGCTTTGAACATCTATATTTCAAAGGTTTACAAAATATGTGAATTGCTGTTATAAGTATACCGTACAATATATCAGTCACTATATATTTGCGGATATCTGTTTTCTCCTTTTACGGTTTGTGATTTACAGTAATTTATTTATAACCTACTTGTTTTTGACTTCACGTATCTATCAATTATCAGGGTAAGTTTAAAATATAAAAAGTGTGCAAACTATGGTAAATATGTCTAAGTATGTACGATTTATTTATGTTATTTATTTATGAAAAAATCCTTCAATCTTGAATATATTTCTAAACTAATCATTCAATCAAACCTAAAACGAAAGTAGATATTTCAACTTGTTTGTTTTTATTCATCAAAATTGAACTTAAGAAGATGTATTCCTAATCTAGACATGTAGCTTACTAATTTTAATTCGACAATTCATCGTAGCCAATTGTGCGAACAAATCAGTTTGATTTTTGTTTCGAAAGATAAAACACTTTTTTTCTAAACTATTACGTCCTTTGTCATACATTCTATTTGTGCATTCATATACCAACAAAAATTACACATACACTCTCCTATTCATAAATGTCATACGTATACACAATAGTCGCTTATACTATCTAATATCATATACTTATCTTATATAGTTTATGCATGAGTGTTTAACCTAACTATTGTGTAGATACATTTACGTATGGATATGAGAGTGTATATGTATTTTTATTGGTACATCATTGTACAAATACAATGTACGACAAAAACCATTTGATGAATAAACAGAGTTATCTCGCTTTACGCAACAAAAACCAAACTGATATCTTGAACAATGGGTTATGATCAATTGTCGAATCAAAATTAGTAAAAGATTTTCCATTGCCTCAGTAAAACTTTACTCATTAGGCTACCATGCAATAGTTTCAATCTAAATAATTTCAGTGCATTATCTCTCAGAAAAAAGTGAATGTTTTTGAAAATGGTTTGAGTTTTATTATTTAAAATATCCATTTCTAATAGACGGTCCCATTTTGAGAAGCCAAGTGGTCTCACGATTTCCGAGATTTCAAAACATTTACAAACATTTTCTTGTTTCATAAAAATTCGGGACGACTATTTAATTTAACTTTATTCAATTTAATTCAACTGTATATTGCCATATAAACTTTGAACAGTAAGTAAGCGACAAGCACAACATCGGTCTACAGTATGACTGAAAATCTACACATACATATATACGTATATGGATACAATCATTTGCTAACAAGTAAATCTAGCCCAGACTCCCCTGTTCTCAGTTCTAATGACTTTTTAATGTAAGACACAAACTTATTTACTTGATGTGGTGTTGATGGCTTGAGCATTCAAATCATATTTTCTTCAGCAGTTCCCTATTCAATTCGCAGTCTTTAAATAAAGAATGTTTTTATCCTCTAATATCTTACATTTAAGGCATAATATCTGCTCTTTATGCATATTAGAATGTCTTCCTTTTTCTACATTAAGATTATGGTAAATAATTTTTGCTTTTGTCATACATTTTCTATACATAAAGTGTGGTGCTCTTTAAAGGGGCATTAGCTGTCAAATTTATCTTTGCCGATTTGACTCAAAGTCTCATATTTGATTTATAACATACTAAAACATATTTAAAAATTACAAACAGTCTAAAATAAACATATAACAATGTATATCAACATTTCGTGTGTTTTTTGTCTTGACGTCATCTTATTAACCATCGAGATGACCTTCGAATACTGCCGACGGTCATATAATCCGATATAAACATAAATATCAACGTATATCTCTTCGCTAATGCCCCCTTGATAGTCTTCAAAATATAAATTTTGTTTAAGGTTGTTATATAAATAAAATTTACCTTTTGCATTAATTTTTTGCATCTCAGTATACATAAAATTTTGAAAGCAGTATCTAGTATTTGTTTACATATAACATTTAAATGATCTATTTAAGTCAGAACTTACATCTTGTTGCATTAGTGTGCTAACTAAATTAGGTTCAAATAGAATATGTTTTGCATAGGTAAACCAGGAGTATACACCTTCTGTGTTTAATTTTTCACCAAAATTATAAGCTTTTTGCAAAAGAATATGCAGTATACATCATTCAAATCTCTTTAGATATAATTAAATTTTGTTATTTAATCAAAGTTTATGGGAATTCTCTATAACTCAGGTTTAGTTGCAAGATTTGATTACTTCTTTCTTTGTGTAAGTAAAATATTTAAAAATTCCAAATAAAATATTTTAACTGGATTCTTTTTGAGCAAATCTAAAAATGTCTACATTACATCTTTTCTAGAATTCAGAGCTCTATTAAGAGATAAATATGTGTAAAAAGGTTACTTTATCAGAGGGACAGTCAAACTCATAGGTCGAAAACAAACTGACAACGCCATGGCCAAAAATAAAAAGACAAACAGACAAATAATAGTACAGATGACACAACATAGAAAACTAAAGACTAAGCATCACGAACCCCACCAAAAACTGGGGGTTTTCTCAGGTCCTCCGGAAGGGTAAGCAGATCCTGCTCCACATGTGGCATCCGTCGTGTTGCTTATGTTATTACAAATCCGGTAAATAGTATAATTCGGTAAGTCACATTCGTGAAAAGGGAAGGGTATTGTAGTTACGACATTAGGAACATATCCGATATCATCTGTGAAACGGTTATTCCATAACGGTCAACCAACTCGTGATGGCGTCCGTAAAATTTACGAAGGGATGATTTCAACTTCACCCTTTGGAGCTCTTGGTTTAATAGCTTCCTTGTGAGCAGCATAATTGTTTTCATGAGTGAATCAAAGAGGTAGCATATTACATTGACTGGTAAATTATTCACTTGCTTTGTATAAGCTTTCAAACCAATAATAGATGTTTTGGCTTTTTACCACTTCTGCAGTGCTATGAGATAGGTTGGTATTACAATTAAGTAATGCCCCTAAAAACGAATATTCTGATATATCCTTAATACATTTTAAAAATAAACAAATGATGGTTCTAGTTTAGTAGTCAGCTTTTCTGTGTTGACATGAATTATCATTAATATTGTCATACTTATATGTTAACTGCTGAAAGAAAAACCTTTACATTTCGCGAAATACTATGTATGTTTTATGTAGGTTTGGCTCGCCACAAAACCAGGTTCAACCCACCATTTTTTCGTAAAATGTCCTGTACTAAGTCAGGAAAATGGTCAATGTTATATTAGAGTTCGTTTCTGTGTGTGTTGCATGATAGTGTTGTGTTTCTGTTGTGTCGTTGTTCTCCTCTTATATTTGATGTGTTTCCCTCAGTTTTAGTTTGTAACCCGGATTTGTTTTTTTTTTCTCAATCAATTTATAAATTTCGAATAGCGGTATACTACTGTTGCCTTTATTTATCCTAGGCATAGATTACTTTAGCTGAATTTGGCACAACCGTCCGGAATTCTTGAACCTTCGTGGCTTCCTTTCGTACGTTATTTGGTCTATAAAAACTCTTTTGATTAGAGAATCAATCATAAGTCCTTTTTGGACGAAATGTGCATCCGGCGTACAAAATTTTAACCGCTATTTTTCTTGAAATTTTATAATGAGGACAGGAGAATCTGACTTACTTAAGCGAAACCAACAGTTCTGAAACCATTTTTTAACATATGAATATAATACCCTAACGAGTCTCATAATACTATTCCATTTAATAAACGTACCCCTAGGGACAAGCAGAGATCTAAGATAAGTGTACCATGTGCACTTTAGTCTGAATACCTTGGACAATTCATGATCATGTGTTTGTTTTATCAATGACATAATCTGGATATAGCAAATTCAAACAATCAAAAGTATTAGGATGCAATGAGTTATTTGTTTTTTATGTAATCTGTTCTGAAGTATGTTTCTGACATGGCATCCTTAAAATAATGTATACCCTTCATAGATTCTTTCCTGGTGTAAGTTAACATTGAGTTAAATCCATCTATTTTTATTTCCTCTTTCCAGGTTGATAATAAAATATTGACATCACTTTCAATGTTATTTAAAAAAAATACATCATCTATCTTGTCCGCAAGTCCATGGACATCCAATAAAAATAGGAAGTTTTTTTTTCTTAAAATCATTATTATTTTGGTCTGAACTGACTCCATTTTAAGATAAAAACAAATAATGCATTGTTAATATTTAAATGATCTTTCAAATAAACCTATATATACTAAAAATTTCACTAAATTACACTTGTAAACTTTCAAGTACATGTACACCATGTACATGTATACTACCATTGAAATTACAGATACGTTGCATTGCATACAATGAAGGATAACTCTAATTCCTTGGCAATCTTGTGTGTTTTCCAGCCTTTCAGAATTATTTATTTCTTTTTAAAAAAAGAAAAATGGAAATGTATAAATGAATAACTATTAGGTCTACAATTAAAGGATAAATAATCTGCCTGTATTTAATGTTTATTTTAATCACTGAAATAGTTTGTTTTTGTCCTATCAGACAATGTCCTGTTCTAATTTCTATTGTTAGATAGCATACAAGATATGTATAAGCTAATAATATATTCTGAAAATATATAACTATATAAAACTGTAAAATATTTCTATGTTACATAGGGTGTCCCTTTTTTCTTCAAAACAATTGGATGTGACATTGGTTAAACATGTTGAAATTGTCTCAGACTTTGTAAAACTCCAGTCTTAACTGAATTCTCGCTCTCAAGAATTGTTTTCCAAATTGTTGGAATTATAGCTTTTTATCATTTTAGCTGTTTACCTATCCAATTAGTTTTGTTATGCTAATTTCTCATGTTCTTCTTTGACTTTCCCGTTATTGTTTTAATCATTTATATAATTATGGTATTATCAATGGTATTTAAAAAAAAAACAATGTTTCCTTCTTTTGTCCTTTAGATATTTATTCCCAATATAATCAGTTGTTGAATTAGTCTAAGATTTTGCAGGTTTTGTAGTTTTTCCCTTTGTGTATTTTATTCCTGTTTTGATTATCTTTAAAATAGAAGTTTTAAATGTTGTACTTATTGATGAAAGGTATTAAATTTGTATTTTCTATGTTCATAATGAAGATAAGAACATGTTTTCCAAAATAATTGAATACGTACAATATATGCTTTACTTTCCAGCTACATATTGCATGAGGTGTTATTCTTTTGACCCATCGTGTTTGAACTGATTTAATTTGTTTTAAACTGTCTGTTATATTTAGACGGGTTAAACATTGTAACATCGTGGAAATGTTCTTTTCACTTTTCCTATTCGATTGTTCCAGATGAAATAAAATATGATTTTATTAAACTTGATGCGCTTTCTGTATTATAAATGTTTATCTCTTTTTAAAGAATTTATTTTCTAATATTTTAGAAGATATATTGGTTTTGTTGTTCTTAATTTATTTTCTTCCGCCAAAATTGTTTTCTTGCATATAATTGATGTTTTGTAACAAATCGATAACATATTTGGCATATTTTACAGATAATGAGCTTTTGACACTGCCCTGCTCACCCGAACACTTTGTTATAGTTGTCTTCTCTAACACTGCGTTTTTGTTTTTGTTTTTGTTTGTACATCTCTTCTCTTTTTATTTATACAAAATTATCTTCTTAAATTGTTCTTTTCAAACTTCGATTTATTTAAACTGAACCGATTCGATGACATCTTAATACAGTTATCTACCTTTCATTATTTTAATTAGTGGTATGCTGGTGTTAGCCGTAAACATCTAGTGTCTTTTGATTTGAGATCCTTGAGCTTTGACATGGAAAAAGGGAAGGGGGTTTCAAGATCAAAGGTATAGGTAATCGGTAATGTTTAAATCTTAAACTTTTCGTGTAAGCACATCTCCTCTGAAACTATATGTGATAGTATAACAGGAATATTATAAAATGTTTGTGTTGTAGAGACGAGGAAATGAGACATTTTGTCAGAAGTGTACCTATCACTTTTATTAAAGTTATTGCCCCTGAATTGTTTAAGATTAAGATTAATTGATAATTACTTCAATCAAGTACATTATAAAGGCATGATGTCTTTTTTGTGTACAATTGGTGGCATGTGATCTTGTTAATGGCCAATCGGAAGCTACTTTATCTTAAGGTAGAAGTTGTTGTTGGTCCAAATATTCCAAGGTCTGGCCACCATACATTTTCGAAATAAGCGAAAACTGAACTACGTAGGACAGAAATAGGACCTCACTTTAACCGAAAGTGGATTCTCATTTTTTCTCCCTCAGTTCAAAGAAAATATCCTAGAAACCATGAGGTCAATATGAAATAACATCAAAAGTAACTTTTAATAAACCAGAAGGAGCTTAGTATATCCCTTATTGTAAGTGAAAGTGCATACGAACCATTTATTATTAAAATATTGTTAACAACACAATCATCTGATACCGAAAATACTTTGATGTCAAACGGAAGTTGATAGCTATTTATCTTCATTTAAATAAAAGTATTACACACTTTCTTTTTGTTGAATCAGGGATATCAACAAACTTAAATTCCTAGGTGGAAATACTTGTAATTGTTCTGTGAGCATTTTTTTTTTCTTCCACCCAATTTATTTTTTGTGCTGTACTTTTGTTTTCATGAAATATCAATAAAATGTTTGGTAAATGATATTGCATAGGAAATGAGCGTTTGGAAACTCACCTTGTGAAATCAAACACTTTTCAGTATACGATTATTCTGCTCTTACATTGTTTTCTTGTGTGCACATCTCTTCTGTAGAAAAAAAGATAGGGACAACATTATTTTTCGGTATTTTTCGTTTAATCCTTAGGACGGTTCGGTCAATTTGACAAAAGCGATCAAGTGACTTTTGTTTTTGTAATCCTATTTGAGCTATTTACAAAAAAATGGCATGTTGCAGTTACTTTTTATCATTTAACCATAGATTTTGAAAAATTTAGGTCATTGTTTAAGGTAAAGGTCATGTTTTAAATTTTAACCAATTTTTGGGAAAATTATCCGGGAAAAAATACGATACAATAACCTGCACCCTAAATTTAACTAAAACTACATTCGTGTTTATGAATCTACATCAAGGATAAAATTCGCCATGCAAACTTCTGCTCCATCCAATTTAAAGTGCTTTTTGTAAAAAGATAAGCGTGTTATCGTGTACGAGAGTGTAAAATTAAAGAACACAATGGATTGCACAATCAACATAACTGTATCTTTATACTTTCGTGATTCGAGCATCACTAAAGAGTCTTTTGAAGACGAAACGCGTCTGGCGTACACAATTATAAGCCAGGTATCTTTGATGAGCAAATATAATCCAGTTAACAATATGTATGTCCACATGCGCGTCTCGACCTGGTAATAGATATATTAGAACAGCTAAATGAGTCATAATCATCTCTAGTGCATGCTCCTTTAAATGAAACAGTAATTTTCCGAATTCAAATAGATTTTGATATCAGACAGTAAATAGAATTAAAGTTAAAACTTAAGTCCGATTTTCCTACAAATAAAAAAGAAAGTGTATTCACAGCAAATAAAAAATGATAAAAGTTCCGTTGATCGTAGAAAAGAAAGGAAGATGCAAATATTTGTTTATTTTCTGGTGTTACATCTGTGCGTGTTCCTAATGAAATTAACAAAGAAACACGCAAGACGTATATTTTTAGATGGAGAAAAGTGGAAGGGAAATAGGGTTTTAACCCTTGAAAGTTCCTAAAATACCCTTATCTAAATATAAATAAACATTTTGCACTGACCAGCAAGAGTGTCATTTACGTGTATCCAGGTCATACCTCTGTCCTTTTCGTTCGCTTTCTAGTAACTAGGTCTCGTGTATTTGATAAAGAAACTGGTCACAAGTCTGCAAGTTAAAGACAAAGGTTGTTTCTCGGAGTATAGAATGTGTGTTGATTGTCACTGCAAAACACACAACTAATCAGTAAGAATGACATATGCGTCTTAATGTATAATCCAAACTGCCATATAATCAATAAGCCAGAAAGCCAACCAACCATTTAAATCAACCATTCAGTCATTAAATGAATGTATTATTAATCTACATTGACAGTAAGCATAATTTCAATCAATCAATCAAACAATCAACCAACCAATCATGTATTTATTTAACAAACAAACAACCAATCGATATGAAGAACTTTTTCTATGCAAACAGCTTGTCAATCAATCAATAAACCAACCAACCAATCATACAACCAATCATATACAAATTAATTTTAAAATATTATAAGGTCTTTCCATCCTTCCGTGGAAAAAACTCTTTGATTGCATATTCTGTGTATCCAGAAGTTTAGTTATTTTCTAATTTTGTATTCATTATTTTTATTACAGTAATCAACCGGAAAAGTTGCTTGAAAGCAGAATTAGTTATTAAACGACCTGTTATCCTTTTCCTATTTCGATTAATGACAAAAACTAAAATCATGCTGAGGGCAAATATCGAAAAGGATAACTATGATAGAATTAATAAACTTCTTCAAGGAGCAGCAACTCCAGCAGTTAAACAAAAGTTTGACAAAGAGTTTGACCCCAGTATATTAAAATCAACACTTAATAAAAGTTTCATTGGATTGGCAAAATTGAAAAAACAGAGAGTCATCAACCAGCAACAATGGACTTTGTTATTCCCTAAAAATGGTAAGGAAATACGCAAGTACACAATCAAAAAGTGAACGATCATTTAACCTTGGAAGAAGGGTGAGATAGTAGAGTTATGTTTTGTTCTTTAAAAAAAAAGATTAATAGATTAGGGCAAAGGAAACCAGATATGATTTTTGAACGTATTTGCCAAGAATTATATAAGGTTAAGTTTTTAAAAAATAGTTGATGCTTGCGTGGGATGTAAACAAGTTCAGAATGTAAAAACACATAACCTCACCCCACTCCAAGTTAATTGGTCGTTCGCTGATATCGACAAAGTCAGAACATACAGAAACTATTACACTACCTCATAAATACCTTATTATTCCTGTGTACCAAATTTAATTCCCATGTAGGTCTCGATACACAATATGAAAATATAATTAGCAATAACAATATTTATCATCATCATCATCATCATCATCATCATCATCATCATCATATCGTCGCCGTTATTTTGTAAATGAAAGATTGTGTTGTAGTGTCTGACAGCATTGTGATTTTTCTTGCAATGAATTACACGATTGAGGAGCAACAACTTCCAACTCTTCCGAGGCAGCTGAGGTCATCCCAGGTTTTATGTGGGGCTCGTGTTTTTCAATCGTTCGTTTCTTTTGAAGTGTTGTGTGAATTTTTCGCATCTATTTACTAGAAAATGGCCTTGACTATTCAAATAAGAAGCTCTGGTATGATTGCAAATAAGACTGGCCTTTGCCTTCCAAAATGGAACTAACAAACATAAAAACTGATTTTGACTGATCTTACTCTTACACATACTAACTTCTGCTTAGACCTAAAACATATTGAAATGAGGATTCGTTTCCTATTCGTAGTGAGAGTTGTCAATCAAATGCCAATTGATTTTGTAGAAGTCAAAGGTTTCGAATGCTATAAGAAACCAAAGGGGCAGAATTACGCACTGGGCCATAATGTATAAAACATAAATACTGTTCCCAGCACATAACTGTGTCCAATGTCGTTTTTGATATACACATTTGATGTTTCCATATAGACACGATGTGTTCTCTTCAAGCTGCTCTTTATAAAATATAAGCCCATTTGTTTTGTTTTTTTTTCAGATATAGGATTTGTATCTGTTACATCAACATGATCAGAATACAAGATACATGATCAATAATATCCAAAAGAAAGACATAATAATGTTTTTCATCACAACTTTCGGTACCTTTCATTGTTATTTTTAATTGCTAGTATATAATAATAAGCATTTTTGTTTTGTTTTTATACAACTCTCAAATTTTATTTTGATAAACTAATGATGTTTACATTTATACATTTTCTTGTTATAGGTGCACCATCATCCTCGGACTTTGACCTAACTTTAATGATATGTCTGCTGCGAAATTTTACGGATATAGATAAATCTGATGTATTTCCCATCGAAACCGACACAAGTGATGCTGCAAGTCTTTTGAGATTGAAACACTACAGAAACAACATAGTTCATAGTAAGACATTTACTTTGTCTGACGAAGACTTTAAACAATACTGGGAACATATTACTTGTGTAAGTTTTCGCAATATAGAATATAAAAAAATCATTTCAAAATTCGTTGTGCATTTCAAAAGTTATCATTTAAAACATTCTAGAAAAAATTTAGAACTAGACTTGGTCTAATTCTACGAAGGATACATACACGAGGAGTCCGGAAAAGAACCAAACAATCATTAATGTGGTCAACTTTGTTCCATTTAGAACATCTATCAACCTTTGAAAATATTGAGAATGGAAATAGGGAATGTCTCAAAGAGACAACAACCCGACCAAAGAGCAGAAAACAACCCAAGGCCACCAAATGGTCTTCAACACAGCGAGAAAATCCCGCACCTGGAAGCCGGCTTCCGTTGTCCCCTTAACAACAATGTGTAATAGTTCAGTGAAAATGGACGTCACACTAAACTCCGAAATATATAAATGAACACGTTCGGGATATATGTCACTAGCCATGATTATAGTTTTTGTTGCATTCGCATTCTATGCCTACATCAGAATTCATTTTAAACATGGTCACTATTCCAAACCTTGAACCAATTAGTCATCAATGTTGTTAGTTGTATATGTCTATCCGGCAGGATTTACCTCTTTCAATGAGCATGGTAAGTGTCGATATTGATGTAAATATATTTAGCAGGGAAATATACTACATCTTGGTCTGATTCTTTATTGTTAAATGTTACAGAAGGTAATATGAGTAACTGTTGTGTAGAATAGTTGTATGAACATATCCTTGTGTCAAGAATTTCCTGGCATTCGCCATATTTTAAGGTTAATTAATCAAATGATATTCAATTACCTAGGTTAGTTGTTCAGGTATTATGAGTAGTATAACAAAAAATATATCTTTATGTATTGAATCCCTGTCCGATGTACATTGTCTTCTGACAGGGAATACCGGCCTATGATTATGTTTCATGGTTTACAGATCATCATTAATTTAATTAAGTTAATTTCACTTGTTTTGTTCATTGCCTTAGTAATTAAGAATATAACATCAATTTTGTATACTATAGAGATGTGTTGTAAAAAGGAAAACAACACGTTTAGAATTGTATGCTTCCGACACTTTGAAAAGGAAAAATATGTTCTCTTCACAGTAGCTACAAATAAAAAATCAACTATATAGTGCCTACAGAAGCGTTTTTAAGTGTACATTTTAGTTTGGCAGGATTGAGCTGACCTTAAAAGAAAATAACATTTGATACACCTTGTGCGTCAGATGCGCTTCTCGTGATAAACTTTCATCAGGAAAGCGCAAACCTGTATATTTGAAAACATATCATGAATAATACATAGAATCGTTAAGATCTATTTGAAAAAATGGAACCGAAAATAGCCAAATTCCTTTACAGTAAGATTTTCCTGAGGAAATTGTTATATCATTTTCTTAATATTTTTTTAAATTTATCAACAATGAATTCTTAAAAAAAAAATGTAATCATGTCAGTACCAACGAACGGACTATTATACTTGTGATACGCCCGGGGGCTAAAATATCACCAGCGCATGCTCCAGTAGCATTTTAAAAGTCTTTAGCTTAAACTTATTTTCAAATTTTAATGATAAACATTATGTTTTCGAGCTATCATGCTATGTTCAGTATCATATCTATCAGTTTTAGATCAATAATTGATAAATTTGGTTAATAAAATGAAAGTAAACTGCAAATGTTGACCTCATTTTGATTGTTCCTTGATTGCAGTTGATTTTCTTGACACATATACATGTACATATACATGTGTAATAGATTATCATTTCAAATACAGACAACATAATATTACATTGTAAGTCATAAACTTTTAAACAGATTCGACAAACATTGTGTCTTATATTTTTACGAAAATGGCATATAGTGTTTCCCATAGCAAATCATGAACTTTTCCAAAAACATAGAAAGTAGTAGACACTGTCTATTCGTAATACTTACTCCAGATGAGTTTTCTTGTCTGAAATTTAATCCGTTATCCACCTCCTTTTAGAAATTTAGTTTTAAAATTCTTAATAATTATTCGAAATTTTTGTCATATCAAAACATGTCGTGGGCCATTGTATGCAAAGGTGGTTGTCGAAGTTGTATCCGCAGGTACCGAAAATTGATTATGTCTGTACATATAAAGTAGTATGAAGATGTGAAACAATTACATTATGTTCTTGATATCTAATCATAAAAAAAATAATGTTCTTATATTAATAATGGATATTTTATTTCAAAGTCATTCTTTAACATGTATTTTGATTTTACATCGGTTTAAACATTTTACAGGCGGTTTGCAAACTTGGTGGTGAAAGTTACAAAGAAATGTGTTTGCAAGTTAAATGCGGTCAACCGGACGAAAAGGAAAAAAGATATGAAAATGACTGCCAAAAGTGTACGAGGTAATTTCAGTTTTCCTGTAAGAAATATTGATATCTAATCATTTTTAAAATACATTGAGATAGCACAAGGTTTTATATTATTTCAAAAATTGTGTCAGTTTTATTAATTTCACTTACGTCATACGTTTATGTTTTCATTAAATTTAATTATAGGTTTGTTAAATTTTTTCCATCATTACAGTACGCTGTACACACCATCGTAGTTCAATGTTTCTTTAGTTTAGGTAATATCGATAAAGTGTTTTGCTACGTTGTTGTCTATTATACCTTGAAAAAGTTAAAAAAAAAATTTGCTATATCTAAATCTGTTGCGATGTAAGGATCCTTCGAGAACTTTGCTGAATATTAGTCGCCTGTGATGAAGTATATCTAAAATAAAAGATGAAAGATATGGGTAACAGAAATTATCAGACAACAATAAAATTCATATACTTCATATGTAAATCTAACATCGATATATATAAATTCAGTTTACCATGAACACAACTGAGATTAATAAATGATAATCCTTTACTTATGACGTTCTTTTATATTCCTTGTCTCTAAAAGCTTTTGAATTATATACTTTAGGAATTTAACTTACGATGCTTTTCATTTGGAATTGTTGCTTTTACCTCTATCACACACAAATATCATACATTTAAGCGTCAATAATGTTTATTTATTGCAGAACCCGACAAAGAAGAAAATTGGATATAACACACAGGGAGATATTTTCCTATAACGGTTGTAATTAAAGACAATCACAGAAGCATTTGAACAACCACTTTTAAGTAGTATCAGGATAACCTGAAAGAGGAAACACCGGTCTTTTTCGCTATGTTGCTTCAATCTTCTGAAAAACACAACGATCTGCCAACAATCTAGACATTATTCAAAAATTTCCTTGCACTTAACATGCTTAGTATTATCATACATAAACTGAAAATCAAAAAACTAACACAAACAACCGAAACTGTATACAATCCTCCGGAAACAAATATGACGACGAAAGTGTTTATTCAGGGAAGCAGACATGGAGGGCAGAATTGCATTATTAAAGGATAAATTAAGCGTAACATACAACCAGGGTAGACTTGTACTGCAATTAGTTGCCGGTTCAGCAGGTTTAATTGAAAAGTTTTGTTTCGAGCAAATTTCACTATCAGACAGGCCTGGTCCGAGTATACATGCAGCCGTTATTTATGAAAAAACGTACATGTATATAAGAGCGTTTATTACATAGGTATTTTCATTATACTAATGATTAAAAGCGATCCTAATGCTTAAAAATGAATAACTGGATATCTCCTCAAATTGCATGCCGCAAACTGCATGCAATGTCAATATTCAAGATAAATCTGGATAAACGGCGTTGCATATAGGAGCTGGAGGACGCAAATCGTCGATCGTAAAAATGGAAAGACAGCGTTATCTTACATACGTGAAAATGACAACAGACAAATAGTCAAACTATTTTTCTGGAAACATTAGCAACAGAGGGAGTAAAAAGTGAAATTAAAAAAAAAGTTCAATCAAGATTAATAAGTGATAATATCAGAGTAATAAACACTTTTAAATATATATTTATTCACAATTAACATTATGTCAAGCTGCTTGGCAAAAGAGATATGGAATATACGTTATTGAGAGAGCAACCAGAGGACAAACTAAAAAATCAATAGATCTCATGATTAATAAAATTGCTTATCAGGTTAAACCCAACATTTTCTTCGGATAATGCCTGTACCAAGTCAGGATATTTGACATGTGTTCTCCATTTGTTCCGTTGGTCGATATACAAATGTCGTCTAACGTTTGATTTTGTCTGGTTTTATGGACTTCTCCCATTTTGAATTTTCCTTGGAGATTGTTATTTTTCTTAATACTTATTTACCCAAGTGAGTCATTATTTTTCATTTTAAATCGTCAATTGTCGTTATATAGTCCCCTTTTAAAACATTATAAACGTCCAATCCTTAGACGATAATGATTTCAGTGTGCTCAACTTAAAGTGGCAACTATGTCTTACACATTCATTACGAGAACAAATGAATAATTTTTTTAAGGGTTCTTTCGCTTGCTGAAGGCGTTTAACTCGCCTTCAATGAGGCATAGTCATTAACCCAATTCTGATCTAGATCCAACGGTTTGCTGTTCTTTCTTTTTCTTTTAGTAAGATTGAACTGTTTCTGTATTTCATTATTGACAAGCGGATGTAAAGTTGAGCTCTTGACTATACGTTGCATTGCGCTTTAATGGAAAATTGCCCAATCAATATGCCGATTCAGATTCTAAATCATTCTTGTAATTGCTTACATCAACGTCCTTTGCTAATCTACATCCATTGTGTATTTGGATTATAAACATCATAATTAATGGGAGGCGGCTTTCCTGATATGGAACTTGCGCCCTTTGCGTGTATTTGGACTACATTTTCAGAAGCTTATATCCAAACCGTTTGGAAGAAAATGACGTTTTATATATTGACTTTTTTATAAATTACGATATTAATCACTTACAATATTGATGACTTTGATGTATGAAATATGCTCTGAATAACAGCGGCCGATATTAGAGTGTACAATGAATAAGCAGATTGCATAGTATCTGTGGGTCCTTTTGTTGTACACTCTAAAATTTCAAAGGTAGGGGTTTAGTTCATCATCTTCATCTTTGTGTACCTCAAATAGTTGTTAAAACAGGTATCATGTAAATGTGTATTTCCTAAACCAGGAATAATGTTAGCCTCTAATAGCTAACGTTCGTATTGATTTGTTTTCATTTGTTTGTTTATTTGTTTGTTTATCTTTGTTTGCGGTTCATTGTTGAGTTGTTTTTTCGGTTGTTTTTTTTCATATTTTGATATGTTTTTCCTAAAGAGAATTTGGTAATGATGTCAGATATTTGAATATATCTATGTCAGGTATTTGAATACATATGTTTAATTCACAGCATATCTAATGACAGATAATGTCTATATAAAGAACTGTCAAGATAAGTTTAAAAATTAATTACGTATAAATTGTCCCACTGCTTAAGCATTATTATATATATACAATAAAAAAATTTAATTTAAAGTAACTTAGGAGAATTGAGAAATAACGATAATATATACCAAATATAAAAAAGAAGATGTGATATGATTGCCAATAAGACAACTCTCCACAAGAGACCAAATGACACAGAAATTAACAACTATAGGTCACCGTACGGCCTTCAACATTGAGCAAAGCCCATACCGCACGGTCAGCTATAAAAGGCCCCGAAATGACAAAGGCTGTTATTAGTTTTACTTTTTCATCCTTTCTTTATAAACATTTTTCTTATAGGGACAATATCCTGAAAGTTCTAGGGTATATCTGTAAAAGACTGTTCTGGAGTGGAACAGTTCTCAATGACGTAAATAAGCAATAAGCTAGATTGTCCATATAATAATTTTTTTATAAGAAAAGATAAAAGAGTAAAACTAATAACAGCCTTTGGTATATATTATCGTTATTTCTCAATTCTCCTAAGTTACTTTAAATTAAAATAAAAATTGTTTATGAATATAATAATGCTTTGTGCAATCTTTCAACTACTCTTATATATATCTACACTAGTGTATTTAAATACATTATTTTACAAAAACTTGAACCGAGTGAAAATGTCTGTAATGAGTTCAAATAAAAACAAACTTACTCAATCTATAAAATATTCGACACATGTTTCTTTTCAATTTTAAACAGTTCATTATGAGATAATTTATTGCACAGAAACAGAGGCAGAAACTCTCCAGTTTGCAGATACATCAGTGTTATCCAATGCCAAATGTAATGAACTAGCAGATCCTACAGTTCCCAATTCTCAAATATGCGCTTATGACTTCGAGAATATACAACAAGCCTGCAATGTTGGTAGAAATACTTTAATGTCATATGAAACAGGATTTTCTTAAACTTAAGCTTCAGCAAATTAAAAGTACATTTTGAGCATTGTTTAATGACACTGATTGATATGCATAGAATTAATCAAAGCTGTATTTTCTCTAAATACTGGGTAGTTTCATCAGTGTATATTCTAGTAGCTTGATATAACTCGTAACTCGTCATGAGCTTTTTCGGAACGTTAAATGGAATAATATAAGAAAGATACTCTAAGTGAGATTCGAACAGAATTCTGGTTGCCTAGTGGTCTGAGTATTCGAACTACTGCATCACTAGCCAATCAACTCTGAGATTGTGCGTTAGATTTTACACCTGGAGGGTGCCCTCAATTCCAATCTTAATTGACTAAGGATTTTTATCTGGCGCATAAAATTATAAGCCTGGTACCTTTGATAACTATTCCTACATAAGGTCAGTTGTTCTCTCAGGGTTCTCCTCCTTCCTCCACCAATGAAATCTTTTTGCCACAAAATCGCCAACAGTGCTAAAGGTTACTTAAACACAAATCAAACAATGAACCAATCAATAATAATGCTTGAATACTATGTATTCGTGTACATTTTGATAATTTATAGTCAAAGGTACATGCATATTATATGGAATTTGATGTAAGGCCTACGACATGAAATAAATAGCCAACTCATCTTACTCACATGTCGCTTTTAAGAATTAATATATTGGTTTTAGCTTTTCAATGATACAATCCATTGATCACAATTAGAACACCGACATCCATACGGTTGCCAATAGTAGGAAGACCGCAACTACAAATGTATCAACGACTCTGTGTATAACTGTAATGGAGGGGCAAAAGATCCCAGAGGGAAATTTGAACTCATAGATCGAAAATAAACTGACAACGCCATGGTTTAAAAAGAAAAAGACAAACAGACAGATAATAGTACACAAGACACAACATAGAAAACTTATGACAAAGCAACACGAACCCAGCCTAAACTGGAGGTGATCCCAGATGATCCGGACGGGTAAACAGATCCTGCTCCACATGTGGCACCCGTCGTGTTGCTCATGTTATTACAAACCCGGTAAAGAGTTTAATTTGATAGGTCACATTCGAGAAAAAATTTTAATAAAACAGTACGTCACAATTTTGAAATGTTTTCATAATCAAATAATATACATGAATATATATATATATATGTATGTATCGTATTCAATGATAATACTTAATGTTACATTCTACATTATTTATATGAAATTCTATATTTTTATGAAAATAATATATAAAAATATGTTTTGAAATTTATAAAATTGTAATTGTATTTCTATTTTCAGGGTGATGCTGGTGGACCATTGACATGTGAAATAAATGGAAATCGTGTTCTTGTCGGAGTATCTGCGTAGATTCATAATGTTTGTAATGCTGAAAAACCATTTGTGTATTCAGCAGTTGCTTATTATACTTCGTTAATGAAAAATGGACCGTATATTTATGGCTAACAAACGATGTGTGTAAAATATCAAATAAAAGAAAATGAAAATGATGTGTGGTCTTTTGTTGCAGAAATTAGAATATACTGTATTCCAGCCATATTACATATTCCTGACTTGGAACATGCATTTTCTTATGTAAAAAAATAGCCGATTAAATGTGGTTGGATAGCTCTCACCTTTAAGATATTCGCATTTAAGTGAATTGGTAAAAAGAGCAAATTTAGTAGAAATAGACAAAAAACAATGGACATTTCCTGCAGATAAATAGACAACAGACATACAATGTAGCACACATATAGATTACAGATGCATCTAAACATCGGGAATTAATTGTAGTGTCCAGTAGATTAAGATGTCCCTTCTTTTGTAGTGTTTAACGTTTTGGTGTTCATGGCAAGTGCATAACCCGATGCTGCTTTCTATTCTCTATCCAGTCATTTTTTGTGCTTTAAGTGGAGTGACTACTCAATTTTTTGGAAGCCAATACCTTAATCTGACTATTTGTGTGGTCGTAGTCATTTCCTACGGTGCAGTTTTTAAAACAAATGAAAAAAAAAGACACTACACCCGTCGTGTTGCTTATGTTATTACAAATCCGGTAAATAGTCTAATTCGGTAAGTCACATTCGTGAAAAGGGAAGGGTATTGTAGTTACGACATAAGGAACATATCCGATATCATCTGTGAAACGGTTATTCCATAACGGTCAACCAACTCGTGATGGCGTCCGTAAAATTTACGAAGAGATGATTTCAACTTCACCATTTGGAACTCTTGGCTTAATAGCTTCCTTGTGAGCAGCAATCCTCTATCAACGAAATCATGATAGGAAACACAAACCAGGGAATATCGTATCAATTGGGAGATATATACTCCGTATGCAGGCGCTGCTGGAATGTTGCTACATAGAAATGGAAAGTTCACAATTGGGAAGCTAAAATCATCTCTTTTGTCGTAAAGTTTTGTTTCAACCGACCCTTATTGTCAATTTCTAGATGTCAGTCAAGATATGAGGCAGACTTTACTGTATCAGTAGTATCCTTTATCTCTAGTTTGATGGGATAGTTTCGTTCAACATAGTCATCAAATTTTGTATTATTAAGTGAGAGAACATCATCTATATAGCGGAACGTAGAGTTAAAGGATATTGCTAACTTCTTATCTTTCTTCCTAAGAAGTTCCTGTATGAAGTCAGCCTCATAATAGTAAAGAAACAAGTCGGCAAGAAGAGGGGCACAGTTGGTTGCCATTGGAATTCCAACAGTCTGTTGAAAAACACGTCCTCCAAACGTAACAAATATGTTGTCAATCAAGAAATCAAGCATCTTGATAATGTCAGTTTCAGAGAATTTTTTGTTTGAATCAGAGTGATTCTTTACAAAGTAGGATTTATCCCTCCCCAAGACAAGATACTTGTATCTACGTTCGTCATTCTTTTTAATGAAACAAAGTAAAACCAACTCTTTCAATTTGTCTTTTAGTTTGGAATGGGGAATACTTGTGTAAAGTGTAGAAAAGTCAAATGTTTTGATACTATTGCAAGATGAAAGAGTCTTAGATTGTATGTACTCTAAAAGATCTTTGGAATTTTTTAGTATCCACATCTGATTCACGCTACCTCTAGAATAGGCAGTTTCACAATAACTTTAAAGCTCGGATTTGATTGCTGATAAAATAGATGTTAATAATTAAGATAGAGGTTTCGTGGAGCACTTGGGAAGACCCAGCAATATACCGTTGTTTGTAAGGACACTTATGTAGTTTAGGTATCCAATACAGTGATGGAAGAAATCCTAGTTTGATGCAATCATTAGATAGCTCAAAAGGGACTCACCCAACTTGCTGTCTTTCAGTACAAAAACAAGCCCACTTCAAATGCTATAATTATAGGTTTCTTACAGTTAAACTTGCGATATAAAGATGTTTGACGTTTTATGATTCTGATACCAAACTTACTGTGGCATGCTTGCTAATCGAGAACCCTAGGAGAGTGGACACACTTTGTCTATGCGGACCGTTTCAACAAAAGGTTGAACAATGAGAAGATCGTTGTTCTGAAAATGTTGTGCACTTTGCATGCAAAAGACTCTTGTAGCAACTCTTTTTAAGGGGTTCAACTTGCCTGCTGCTGATGATGTCAAAATTTTCTCCACTCACAATCTCAATGTTCACACACCTTTATAGAAACCTTTTTATTTGGTTTATCAGTGAAATATTA